AAACAGAAAAGAACAGTGATAACTGTGTTTCAGTCCTTAGACCAGGCAAAGACGACAGTTGACATCTGGTGTGAAGGACCCTCCACCCCCCTCAGAATTTTTAAATAAAAAACAATGTCAAATATTTGGGTGAAAACATAATTTCCACAAGTCTATCAACCTAAATCAAGGATATGTAGGGAATATTTTTTAATTGGTCTAACATTTTAATTAATGTTGGGTTTAGGAAAACATTTTAAATCGCTATTATACAGTTATATTCAAAAGAAGAGCAGCTTATATGTTAAGTATTGCAGGTAAAATGCACATGTTACTATTTTTTTGTAAATATAATTAAGAATATTGATGTTGTTTAGAAAGTGCAGTGGCGTAGGTGAGATACATAGTTTGTCTGGTTGCAGTGTCTGTGAACAACCAAAAGATGGCAAAGTCACCTCATAAAAACAAAATATATGCAATGGAAAGTATCATAATAGCTGAAAAAACTTAAAAGACAAAATCATCAACAGAAATGACCATGTTTGCTAAAATCATTTGCAGTAAATGTTAAACAAAAATGCAGAGATATGTATAAAATACGTGTGCTCTCTGTTTGTCATTCATCCTGTTGCTTCTTTGTTTACATGGTTGCCTGTTTGACAAGATTTAGCAACGCTGCTAACATGTAAACGTGTGTTCACGTGTGTATTTTAGTCTGATTAACCCCACATTTTCCCATTTAAAAAAAAAACAAAACAAAAACAAACAAATGTCAGGCTATGCATGTACAACTACTACTTCATCATCTTTTTTTTTCTGAATTGCTAGAACTCATTCACAACAAGTACTTTGACCTGACGTTATAAAGTTCAGTCTGTGTACACAAAGCAGGCAGACAGACGCGTCCACGTTATAAAAAGATACAACATGTCATTTGGTTCAGATGGATCATGACGAAAGGAAATCTTTCAAGAAAGCCGTGGTCTGGTGGTGAGCTGACATCATGGGAAATTCACATTTTATGCACAGTTACACAGGAAGATTGCAGTGAATCCTTTATGTCTTTCCCGCAACTGGAGGACCCAGGTGAGGACATTCAGCCAGTACTTGTCTGTTTTACTTTTTTTTTTGTGGTACAATTTTTTTTAGCTTTGTTTGTGTGCTGCATTGACGTCGTCTGCAGATTTTATAATTGTGTTTTCTTTAGCTTTTAAAGGAGACAACGAGACAGACACAACAACAACCTGCAGAGCTGGTTATCAGGACATTTCTCCTTAATGACGACACAACACAGAGGTGTCATTATTATTCCTGACTGCCTCACAAAAACAAACAAACAAACAAACAAGGTGACGGGAGTCAGGCAGCATGTCCCAGGCCAGGCTCCAGAGTGGAGGGATATCAGACTTGCGAATTGCAGGGAGGCGGGAGGTCTGAATGACAATGAGTCTGCTAGGTAGCCCTAGAGGAGATCGTTATGAGCAGCAGGACCATGCAGCCGCTTCTGTGTGCTGCAGTCAACAGCCTCAATCACCCACCTGGAACCTGGAGCCCAGACAGCCGGGGGAAGCTGGAGCCGCTGGCCTGACCTCGGCTACAGGCTGCAGGGACAGAGGAGCCAAGGCCCAGACACATCAACCAGAGGCTGCGACTTTTCCTTGATTCAAATCCCGCCCTGCTGGTGACCTGCATGTGCCACTCCTTTCTATAATACTTGCCCAAAACCGGCTCCACTATTTGCCCTCATCTGTTACCGGCTCCTCCTCCACCTCTTTTTCTGAGACCCTGGAGACCACACCCACCTATCCCCACCTAAAAAGCACTCCAGTTTAATCACCACTGAATGTAGGTGGAGTTGGGTGGGAGGCGAAAACCACGTATTACATCATGTATTTACTTATCCAGGGTAGCTAGCACACACGGTGCAGAGGGGAGCATGGGGTGAAAGGTGAAAGATTCAAGAGTTAATGAGTCATGACCAAAACCAAAGAACAAGATTTGGTTTACTTGAACTCAAAAAAAGTGCACAACACCTCCAGACATGAAGCTGAAGTGTGAAAGGCTGAAACCCTTTCACCCGCCGTCCATTCAACTGCCACAGACAAATTTCTAAACCAATCTTTGGAGACTGCCCAGATGTACATGTCTTGAATATAACACTTTAATGTTTCCCAGAATACAGAGCGAGCACTCTGAGATTATTCGCTATTAATGAAAGTGATTAGGGGCTCAGGCTGTTGGGAGGCTGCCAACTACTGTTTCAACATTTTCCCTCCCTTGTCAGGGGAATTTGAACTCTAAATTGCTTCCCTTTAGTAACAATGCAGTAAACACCCTCCAATCCCCTCTCAACCATCTGCCCATGGTCAACATCACTTCGGTAACTGCCGGTGACATGTGCGGCAGCACGGCCTTGTAGTTCATCCAACCATCCCACCTTAGTGAGGTGGTGCAGCTCGGAGGGAGTGAGCTGAGGCAGTGAAGTGGATCGGCAGCCTGTTACCTTTACCATGATTGTGGGGTTTTATTATTTTAATAGGCTCTTCATCTTGAAAAAGAGTGGTGGTGGAAAAAAACATATATGGGGTTGAAAAAAGAACAGTCTTCCTTGTCCTAGCAACCTTTTCTTGTCGTTTAAAGCAGGAACGGCCCACGCGGAGACATCAAGCACATTCCAAGAGTCGCCCCAATTACGGCAGATGAGGGGCAGAGTTCTTTTTGTTTAAGAACAAAGCCAAAAGTGACACAAGTGATCTTTAAAGGGAGCTCTCACAGCCACATATGAGGACAGGGGGGCCCAGTAGTTTGGGGGAGGTGACCAGCTGGTTATAAATATCTAGTTGGTCAGTTACTGGAAGGAAAATTTGCAGTTTGTTTGTCATCCACTCATCCAGGTGGTGAGCCCGGTGGTTGCGAAAACATCAGGACAGCTAGAGGGAGAAAGCGAGAGAGATAGAGGGAGAGAAACAACCTTTTCGAGTTTGCCAGAAATGAGGAATTTGACTAATTCCTATATGAAAGCCACATGTCATCCTGCAGTGTAGACCTGCAACGAGAGAAGGTTCTGGAAAGGCATATTTTATCCAGAAGTTCTTTATACTGAATGGTGCAACAACAAACGTATTGTATACCTGTAAATACACCACAGTAACTTTTAGCTCAGTGGCAAAACATATTCCACATCATTTGGGGAGTTACATATTTAAGGCCTTCACATTGTTCTACACGGTTATTTTCCTAGAAAGAACTATTTTACAACTACCTTTTCAGCCAACAGCAGGTGTGAATATAAGACTAAAGTGTTGGACTTTTTTTCCTTTTTTTTTTTTTTTGGAATGACAACAGTGGAACACCGCACATTGTGCAAGTGGTTGTTGATGTCCAGAAGCATGCAGAATTGGACTGCAGAGGGGTTGGGCCGAGTTTAAAGTTTAATTCCCACTCTGCAGTAAATTAGAACACAGTGGGATAATTTCTGTTTATTCCAAATACAGCTGCCTCTACCCCTCCCCCCCTCTGTCTCTCTCTCCACAGACCACACGATGGCCCCTTCATCACCTGGACGTGCAGTGAACGCACAAATAGACGCCACACAAAACACACATTATGCAAACACATGCACTTGCATAAACAAACACACGAGCACACATGCATGCTTACAGTATGTCCACAGATACAAAACCAGTCTGCACACGCACACACACTCGTGTAAACACAGTTGTCAGCAACAGAACACTCGTTTTAAATAGATTTTGAAGGTCAATGACTCTGAGGCAAGAGAAACATGGCTGCTTGTTTAATTTTCAGATTTTAGTAGTTGGAAAATAACTATCTACATTTATTATCCCAAGAAAACAAAAAGGTGTATTCGATAACATGTATTATTCTAACTTCTTTTCAGAGCAGATTACGAAATGTTGTGTTCTTGTGACTAAATACTAGTTAGTCACCGTGCTTTAACATAGTCCTTTACAGGTAGGAGCGCGTCTTCTTTAACAGATCTTTGCTGTACTCTGGTGGAAAGTGTTGGCGGTAGAGCGACAACAATTAACAAGCGTTTGTCGCCATCTAGTGCCCAGCAGGATCAGAATAGTTTACTATTTCAGAATACGAATCGAAATTCTCTGTCGGAAAATTTGCTACAGTACAGTGTTACAGTTGCTTCTGCAAAATTACAATACACGTAAAGGTATATACTAAGTAGAAAAGTATTTGGATAAAACGTAATAGAAAAACACTTGGAAAATGAATTTAATCATTATTTTAATCATTATATACTACTATATGCAAGTAATTACTTACAATTACATTTAAAATGCCCATAACAAACACAACTGCGAAATATAAGTTAAAGTATTGCNTGGTGGATTTAAACCTGCAACCTTCCGATTGTAAGTCAGCTCACAATAGTGGCCAAATAAAGTAAATGTTCCCTGACCGGGAATCGAACCCGGGCCGCGGCGGTGAGAGCGCCGAATCCTAACCACTAGACCATCAGGGATTGATAAGAAGCAGGAAAATCATATTTCTGAAACATTCGCTTGAATCCAAAATGAAGAATAATCAATTTATTTATTTGTTGATTTATCATTGAAAAAATTAATTATAACAGCAAAATCTCCAGCAGGTTAATCAGTGCAGACATTGTGATGAAAATTGAAATAAGATATGATCATATATATATATATGTGTGTTATAACAGCAAAATCTCCAGCAGGTTATAATATTTATGTTGTGTTCAGGGTTGCCTACTGTAGTGTTCTCTCTCATGGACTAGTGGCTAGGATTCGGTTCAGGGAATATTTCCCTTTGAGATCAATAAAGTACCTATCTATCTGTAGGTTATCAAGTAAACTCCAGACAAGGTGAAGCCAATAAAGTACCTATCTATCTGTAGGTTGTAGGTTATCAAGTAAACTCCAAACAAGGTGAAGTTCACGCAAAGCCAGGGTACATACATGAAAACAATATAGTTCCGTTGTCCCATGGTTACATTGTAGTCATAGCACAAGTACTATAAATACATTCTTAATGTTTTATTTACTGCAATGGGTGGATGCTAAAACTCCTGGCTAAAGTGTCTCTTTCGGTGTTAACACCCAGATATCCTGTTCTTATTTTTGTCTATACATTTGTATGTGTTAGAAACCACCTGCTTTTGAATGTTACAGAGGTTGAACTGCACTTTCTAGGGAACATAAAAACATTACAATTTTGAGACGTTTGGACGGCGTTCTCGGCGGTATGTCTAGCTTTTCTTTGGCTCCAACTACAGAATGACGCAGGCTATGTCTTCTGCGTGCGCGTCCTCGACAACGTCACGTAATTATGCATCTGCTGTCAAGCCGTGCCCACATACGGCGTTGTCTCCAAGAGAGGTTTGTTAAGAATAAATCTGTGAAGCATGGCGATCTGCGATTAGCGGCTACAGCATGAAATGTTTGCCCTGCGCGTCCACGCTTACTTAAGCAACAGCAAACATTTGCATGTGGGGGTAAATTTTATCTAAAAAAAAGTAAATAAATGTAATCTTTTGTTCATGTTATCGTCATTATCTGCTCAGGTAGACTGTTTTAGATTAGCCCTGAATTTGTTTGATACCTGAAGCACAAACTAGTCATGCAGATTTTAGAAGATTCTATAATATAATGCTTTGCCGAAAAATCCCAATTTCAAAGGAACGAGATCTTAACGAATGAAAGGATAAAAAGAAGATGAAACGTAACTTAATGAAGGCAGCCAATTATTACAGATGACGACAATGTTAAATGTATTTGTCTGTCATCAATTTTATTTAACGCTAAAACTAAAAACTGAAGGCTTGTGTGCGTATCTGTGGCGGAGTCGTGAACGCGCACGGACATCATTTGGCTTGAGTAGCCAGTAATTTTGTACCACCCGCAAACTCGGATTCTAGCGACCCCTCTCTCTGCTGTCAAAGCCGGCCTGGAGTGATACAGTGACGGGAAGTATTCTGACTAATGTCTGGGAATGTTATTGAGGAAGCAGAAAGAAATGTTAAAACGTGGTTTCGCGTTTAATCGTGACATAACACGCCACACTTTTTAAGCTTTCTTTTAAACGGCTTCATTAGCTTAGCCCGGCTAGCAGGCTAACAAGCTGATGTAGCAGCGATACATTCACCAAAATGAAGCAGCAGTCAGTTGTAATGTCTTTATTCGTTATTGAATTTACACCGTGTAAGCTTAGAGTATTATAAGATGTTGTGATAGTTGTGATGTAGTGAGTTTTGGGGCAGGTGAAGAGGCAGACGAGAGGAGGTGCCAGCGGGGTCGCTCAGATAAGTTATGAGCAGTTTCAACATTCGGACCAACAGTGAAAGCTCGGTCAGCAACAACAACACTGAGTGGCGACTGGACAGCGATGTGTCTCCGTGCTGTCAGCACATGAGTCCTACAATGGACACGATTTCGGCAGATGTTTCCCCTGTTCAGACGGGGCTTGACGGACATCTGCCTCCTCTTCACGCCGACATCCACAGCGATCATGGAGGCTTGGTGTTGGACCTGAGCTCCCCCGGCGATGGCTTTCTGGAAAGCGACTCTTTGGAGTACTGCAGCAGCGATGGGAACAACGCCAGCCCGCTGTTCGAGAGGAGAAAGAGGTCGAGGTCTAATAGCTCCAGACCGCGATTCAACGACGTAGTTACTGAGCTTGCACCCGAGGAGGTGCGGTGGTTTTACAGGGAGGACAAGAAGACCTGGAAGTCCTTCGTCGGACACGACTCCCTGAACATCGAGCTGGCGTATCGGAAATACTGCGAGCTTAACCCAAGGCGAGCGGCAAAACCCCAGGAAGAGTGTGCGACAAACGGTGTGGAGAGCGGCGGATTGAACGGTACATTGCCAGAGGAGACGGCGATGAACAGCGAGAACGAAGGCCCAGGGTCCCTGGACACATCCACAGTGTCCTCTGATGAAAGGGAACCAGACAGTACAGAAGTCAATGTGGACCCAGTGTGTGTCCGAGGTGGACTGTATGAAGTGCACATCAGAGAGAGAGAATGTCTTCCTGTTTACTGGAAACGTGAGTTAGAGCTATTTTTTCCCTGCATCTCTTACTGTATGTATCCACCAGCATCACTGTTTATCTGCACGTATGCTACTTCAATGCGTACTATAACGCAGAGCTGCTCCTGTAGTCTCTATCACAATAATTACATCACATTTTGGCACACAAACCACATATTTGACATATTTATATCAACATGCAAAATAATTATTTTGGACTGATGTTTACTTACAAAAGTCAATCTCCTCTAAGGCATGACTGGGCTCTAATCCTGACATTCCCAAAGCCAGGCTTTAGAATTGTATTGCTAAAAATGGAAAATGTATAATGATGGTAGCATTAATTTTGTAATTAAATATATTCTGTGGTTGGACGGTTGATCAGTTTCTTCACCCCAAATATAATTAAAAATATGTGGATAAATACAATAAATTTAACTTACCCAAAGTATATTTGGAAAATGATCTAAAATATATTGTAAAATTATCAGTTGTTTAAAACTCTGTTTTAGCTCATACATTGCAAATGCTCATGCATGCAAACACAATTGTGGTTATAGGCTAAGTAATGACTAATTCAGTTCATCAGATGTTGTCTACACAACTTCGAGGAAGCCACTTTTATTAGGTGCAGCTGATCTGCACTAACTTATTCATGAATATTTCTAGGGAAAAGGCTGTGAACAAATGAAGGCGGTCACTGTAGAGCATTGGAAAATCTGACCTGGATGAGAGGGTTCATTGGTAGCTGGATGTTTTGAAGGTTAACACCATGTGACACATAGAGAAGCAGTTAGATTCCTGAACATTCATGCTGTGAAGTTGGCGCCTCGCTGTGATGTTTCAGCACAGCCTGTAACAATGCCAACACACTGTTGTGTAAGCACGATTTAACCCTACAGGATATAGTATCATAACACAAATTTCTTCACTTCTAGATCAGTCCACATCTCACAAGTTTTTATTTTGTAAATAATTCAATTAATTTTCCCACTCTGAACTCACTCATTACTATGTTGACATTTTCAACATCATGTTCTGACGTTCTAATCTACAGTAGATAAGGTCAAAGGGCATTTTTTGATTTCACAAAAATCACATGTTTTGTGAAACATTGCTACTCATCAAATTATTGACCACAAAGTACTATGAGTCACTGTCCACGTGTCTTTCTTGTCTGTTACTATCTTAGTGATATTGGTATTGATTATTCTAAAAAATAAAAAAAAGCTGACATAGAGGGATTTTCACTGTGTAGAGAAATGTTCTTGTACTTTTAGCAAAAACATGCCTACAGTGCCTCCTGCTTTTGCGCCACCAGAGAATCAGTCTGTAATGTCACTAAACACTAATCAAAGCTGACCTTCTTTTTGAGCCGCAGAGACTCGGCCCCTCTGGGGATGTTAGTCTTCAAAGTGAAGAAAGAAATTCATTTAATCTTTAAAAGCTCTCACTTCTCAGAAAATTGTAGTACAGATGGTGTTACTGTGAAGCAAATCTGCATAAAAAATTAATAAATACAGACAGTTAGAGTGTAACTTATTCATTACCCACAAAGAGGTTTCTGGATTCACAACCCTTGTTTTGTGTATTATTTTCACCATGTCGCAGAACAAGATCACATCCCAGTGATGAGAGGCCTGTGGTTCATTGACGGTACCTGGCTGCCGTTGGAGGAAGAAGAGAGTGAACTCATCGAGCAGGAGCACCTGAACCATTTCCGCGGACAACACATGCAGGACACATTCGAAACGGATTTGGTGGTGAAGACTGTTGACAGCAAAAATGGTGAGATGCACTAACTGGCATTTATAAATGAAATCGCTGACATTTATTATGATAAACATCACCACATTGACACTAGTGAGTAAAAACATCTAATCAGCAACACCAGCATGGAAAAGCCCGTTTCTGTTCTGTTCCGTTCTGTAGAATCACTGAAACTAAAATGTGCTACTTTTCAGATACTTTTGAAACATCAAAAGTAGCTTCTGGCCATGTGTTGTCAAAAGCAATTTGCTGAAGGACAAAACATATGAATGTATCAACATACTTGTATATTTACATTTACATTACTTCTCAACACAACCTTTCCTTACACACACAAGATGCATTGTGGGTTTTATTTTACCAGGCTACAGAGTGTGTTGCATTCTTTAGGAATTTCTGATTTTACTCTTTGGTTCTTAAATGACCTCAGACCTGACCACTGTGAGGTTGGGTCTGTACCGTATATGGCCTGCAGGCAGCAGTTTGACTAAGCTAGTCTTAAAGTCAGTGATTTGAGAAAAAAAAAGTGACAAGACAATAAAGATATTTTATGCATATCCTCGGTTGAAGCTTTGCTTATTTCATCCTAGATTGAGAGTAAATAAATACTCTCTGTTTTTCTTGGGCTTAACACGTTTCCTTTAAAATTTTATTCCATCACAGGTAATTCCAACTCCACCAAAACGCTATTAGGAGTCATAAAATCATGTGAGTTGTAAACGTTCAGCCCTGCCTGCTCAAGTATTAATGCACAGCCACATAAGTAGAGCAGTTGCATTCGTGTGAGCCTGCAGTTTTTTGTCATGTCATCCTCCCCGGGATGAAGCAGGTGCAGCTCATTGTGGCCTCCGTCGTTCTGGCATGTCTGTCTGGTAGAGCTGGCTCAGAAAAATGTAGTGAAGCCATAGCTGTGAGAAGTAATAAGACAGAGGCCCATTGATTCAGCAGCCTCCTGAAGGCAGCAGCCAGATCTGTGGGACCTTCTGTGGTGATGAATGTGTGGGTGCTAGAATGTGATAGATAAATAGAGCAGAGAAAAGAAGAAGAAAGAAAAAATAGATATAGCGAGTGACAGAAGAATGAAGAGAAGTGTCAAGTCTGCATTATCAACTTTGGGCACATGTAAGAGAAATAGTAACCTTTATAACCCAACAGGAAAATTGTATAAAATATTTAAAAAAAAAATCCAGGAATATTTTGTGAGTTTTCTCAGTTTCTTAACAAAAGAGTAGTTACCTTGAAAGGTCATTATCCACCTTTAAATCTTACATGTGTTAGATCCCAGGCTACGGGCCCACTCCTAGCTTGTTAGGCCCTCCGTGTAAGGGGTAAGAACCCGTGGGGCCGGAGTGGGTGCTGGCTGTGCCACTTCACTCCCCGGGTCCCTCACTCGAAACCCTCCTGCAGTCACCCGCGTGTCTGCGTAGGCCTATGGTCGAGGTGATTCGTCCGGCTCCTGTCTGTCGTCCGTCTGGGTGTCCGCCCCGCTGCCGCCCCGCTGCCGCCGCACGTGCACTACCGAGGAACAGCCTGGTGCTCGGGGTGCTCCATGCGACCACACTCATTCATGACAGCTCACCTCTCATGATCCTGGCACTTGTTGATTGCTGGAATTGTTTAAAACACCTCACCGGTGTCAGGGCCATGTAACTGGGTTTTTCAGAGAATAGACTTAAACCATCGGTGAATCTTCTATGATGTTAACCGCGTAAGACCCTGGATTTACTGTATGCAAGGCCATGTCTGATATGACAAAATCTCTTTCAATCTATGATTTTAATTTCATAAGAATTTATTTATTGGAAAGAATAGGGCACAGAAAATAAGCAAATTTCAGCCCTTTATAAAAAAAATAATGTAAATACTCAATCACTTCAGTGTAATATACAGATCAGAATATAATTTAAATGTGCTGTGGCATTGTGTCAAAAATAAAATTATATTCTGAACCTGTTGCCCACTGGTGGTGTAGTAGAGGAGAGGACACGACCTTAGGCCCTCGGTGCATTCGGTCCTCACTGCTCTGGAAGAGCCGACGCCCTAAGCCGCCCGGTACAGGGCTGCTTCCCCCTGGGAGAAGCACTCTTGTGGTCCGATGGCAGTTGTGACGTGAGGAAGCAGAGAAATAATCCAATTTTTTCTTGTGGCAAAACAAACTCGGAGAAATAATCCTTCTTCAGTCCGGCTTAGTCGATAAAAACTCTTCTGCTCCTCTCGTGAGTTCTTTCAAGTCCACAATAGGTTTGGTAAAACACTTTTTGACCTTTTGAACTTCCCTGGATCAGAGACATGTCTCATGTTTTTGTTACACATTTCGACACATTTTCCCCTTTCTTTTGCGGAATGCGGAACTATATTTTTATAGCCTGCTATGATACACTCGGTTTATGACCTTTGGATACTGAGCTCAACCTTTCTTGACACATGTTAAACATAAAGTGTCACATTAATTAATATCGACAGGTCACAAACATATTAAGTCATTGTATAAATGATCTCCGAATTCAACCCATCCACTAAAACAGGACCTTACTGCACCAGGGGGACAAGGGAGAGTTTTGGTGCGTGATCACACACTGCAGACCTGTTAGTCACAGGATCAGCACCGTCAACCTTTCAGTCAACCCTAATCTTGTAACCACTAGGCCGAGGCCTCGGTATTTAAAAAAGTTTTCTAATGGCTACTTTAAAAATGGATTTTTCACCAATTCCAGCTGTGGTTGTGAAATTGTATTTAGGAAAGTTGAAATACTGTAGTTTTGACTGTATTTACTTCACTCAGTAGCTAAGGTTTTTAAGGAAAACCAAAACATTTTGAAGTGTGTTGAGGATTTAGACACAGCCTTCAGTGTTACTCATAATTTACGACATTTTGTACTAAAAGTGACTGTATCGTTAATCGAAATAAAATACCAATGGATCTTAAACATTCCAAGTTAAGTTGGGTTCTAATTACTATGTGTAATCTACCTGTAAAAAATTGCTATTCTCAGTCTGGGAATGATCTACTTCAGTCATTCTGAACTGCACTACTTGTTAGGTTTGAGAAATGATTTGCAAATATAATTTCACTAAATTAATGGTAATTGATGTTTCACATATACAGTGAAGTTTATAAACTTTCAGAGAGGACAAACAGACCACACAGAGAATTATAGTGTGTGACATATTCTACTCAAGGGCGCACAGATTGGTTTGTGACATTTTTAGGCCCTCATCTAATGCACCACAGGCAGACCATGTCATGTGACCTCGGCTGGTCCAAGAAGGGTCAAAGCTGCAGTGTGTATTTATCACTGTATGACATGTTTAGAGTTGTGTTCTTTATTCAATTATCTTTTTTTTTTTTTCCACTCAACTCGACCATTCACTTAAGTGGTTCTTGGAGAAAGAGAGGTTTCGACCTATGGTCGTATAACATTTCCACTTGCTTTATGTTATTCTTCTTATCTTATGTTCTAAGGACCCTGCTTGTGTTTCAGTTAGTAACTAAGACAGAAGGTTACTATCAGAAGAGATTATCAGCACACGTGCCTGTGTTCTGTGCTACCATGATGTTGCAATGTGGTGTGTCCTGTTGTTACACGCTGTAGTTTGATGTTTTGTCCTGTTGGAACAATAAGCCAGCACATCACTCAGTTATACTGGAACTGTCCTGTTGGAACAATAAGCCAGCACAACACTCAGTTATACTGGAACAACAGTAGGATAGTTGACCATAGTAACAGATAAAGAAATATAGAAGATATCTGTAATTTTTGGCCACAGTAACACTCCAGTTACAGTTCATTGTGTGCACCTTTAATAAAAGTAGCCACCTGTATTATGTGTCATTCTGACAGTGTTTGATTAGGGCCCTGCCCATTTATTATCAGGGATAAAGGTGTTTGTTTTGGAAAGTGTGAGACGTGTTATGTAGAGTATGCAGTGGAGAGGGCTACAGTATGTGTACTCTACATTTACAGGTATTTAAATGTATGCAACATCTCTCAATTCTGTCAACACAGTCTGTGAGGAATGACTGCGTCACACTCTTAAAATTAACATTAAATTACAAACCTAACCCCGGCTCAGTGCACAGCCAAACATCTATTACATAGACGCTAAATTAAGCCAGTTCATTTCCTTTAATAACAACCATGTCTGGAACTATAAACTATAAACTTTCTCAAGGTTGTCTTTAAAATAGTAGATTGAATTATAGATTTTGGGGGGTTGAAGGTGCACAGCCTCAGGCCTTTCATCACATATCAAACATTTATAACATAAGATATTTAGAATAATCACAAATGATTCTAATTTATTTTTCATGCCATTATATTTAGCCAGATTTTTCACACTCTTGCTTTACTCTGCTTTAAGTCTGGAAGAATTATCATACACTACAGTATAATATACCACACGGAACAGTGATTAAATCCTCTTGATGATGAAAGAGAATATTGCGGTCTCTTGGGAATTTACTGACTCCATCAGTGCCGCTATGCCCAAATGGACCTCATTTAAAACCTAGCAAACAAACATCCGGTGCACTCAGCAGCTCTCTGCTGCTCTTCCTCAGTCTTTCACCTTACGTCAGGGGAGACGGCCCTGACTTTGCATGTCTGTGAACCAGAGTGAATGACGTCATCAGAGCCGACATGCTGACTGATTTGTTTAACAAAGTCAAAAGAACTCTGTTTTTGTCGCACAACCGCTGTACAGATTTATTACCCACAGGACTTTATATTTATACAAATATTTAGAAATGAATGTGTACTTATCTGGTTGATGAAATAAGGATTCTACGACGCCCTTTCCCCGTGGTTCCCTCACCTCTTCTGTTTCTATTACCTGTCTTATGAGTTGATAAGTGATATTTTCATTTACCAGATTACACACAAACGCACAGTGTGACACAGAATAAACCAAACCAATATATTTCCCCCAATGTATGAACCAAGATTCACAATATTGATCAACTTTTCATTTAAAGTGTATATGATTTTATGCTTGAGTCTTTGGCAACATTTAGGACAACTCTAATATAAAGAAAATAAATGTTTCTTTTGTCTCCATGTTTATATATATGCTAATAGATTTTGCCTGAAGTGTTGTTGTTTTTTGTCCTGTTGTGTTTATGCTTTTTATGTTAATGTATCATTTATTATGTTTTTTGGGTATTATTTGTTATGGTCCCAATATGTAGAGATCCCATTATTCCCCATTGTTCTAGTCTGATTGAGCACTGACAAGGAAACAAAATACAGTATGTTATGCTAACAGTGTTTTAAAGCATCATGTTAAAGTAAAATGAAAGGCTACATAAAGTTTCAGTAATGTGGGAGAGTTTACCTCGGTCATCGTGGACATGTGTCAAGCAGCGCTGCACGTTTGACTGCAGAGTCAGGTCGAGTTAAACCTCAGCCGTTAACCAAAGATCTTTACAGCTTATTTGTACTGTACCTGCAGTCAAATGTTTCCAGGACCTTGAAGTGGAAACCTGATAGCAGTGCTGTTTGATAGATGGACCTGTTTAAAAGTGATGACAGTGGTAGCCAGTGTGACTGACGCCAGGGAAATGGCCATAACTCACTTTCTGTCGGTTGTCAGTTCTCTCCCACTTGCCCCCTTTCTACCTCCCGTTTCTGTTCAAATGGAGCGGATATCAGACGAGTGCTAAAACCACATGTCGCAAGCGCAAACGCTGTCAAGGTACTGTAAATGCCACTTAATTTGCTGTGTTTTTTATTTCTGCTCTGTTAGCTCTGCTAGTTTTTGTACCCTTTCTCTTAGTAGAATATACATGTTACTGTGTGGAGCTAGATTTTCCTTTTGTTTGTGGTGTAGCCCTTATAGAATTTTCTGACTTAGAACTAGACCTAGGCTCAGTCGGACGGCTGAAATAAAGTGGCTCCTATTTCCCCTTCTCCAGCCACTACTGGGCCTAGCTGCTAGAACTTTCCTTTGTTACCATGATTACCAGAGTTTGGTATTACTGTTGCTGTGGCTGCTTTTTGAGGAAAACTGACAGTTTGTTTCTTTTCTTCTTTCTGGTCTAGTCTTTGGACTACACGGTTAAATACCTATACAAGAGCATGACATCTTACACGTCGTCACCCACTTTCTCTCTTATGGCTTTCTTTCTTCGAGGCAGTTTAACTGTCTTTAATGAAGCACATCTTTAAGCTCCTACAGTTAACTAAGATTCCTTCTTTAGAGCCATTACACAAAGGAAGTGCCCATCAGAGGAGCCACTGTGTTATCGTAACCCCCTACTATATCCATTACTGTCCTGGTTCTGGGGGTTGAACCTCTTAAACAATCTAAACCCAGGGTTCTTTGCCTGGGCTTGTATCTTAGGCACCTCATAGTGACCTACAACACAAGCAGTTCAACACCCTGTGAAACATTTGTTCACTATTTAAATAATCATAACTTCAAAATCTCCCAATGAGACAATTGACCAAAAACCAGTGTAGAAAGAAAATATTTAGTCACTCTCTTTATGCAACTGATTACATTAACAGCATAACCAAATGAATCCCAATCTATACAAACCCACTGCTTTATACCCTTCTTTATTTTATAATAACTTTAGTCAGAGTGAACACTAGACTATAACTTGGTTCCATGTCAAACAAACGGCTTTCAAGTCGACCATTTGACTATTTAGTTTTTTGGTTCAAACCTTGATTATTTTATTATTTCTCTCAGTATCACCTTAGCTATAAGTTGTTGGTTAGTGATGTGAGAACCAAACAGAGGAACCACAACTACTTAGCTTTTTTTTATTTCACAAAATACCTTTATGTTGTAAGCCTGCAGACACAAAAAATCCAATGTGATTTGTACTCCACTAAGAACAATAGTTCATAATGTCTGTGTCACGACTTCAGAAAGTTTTCATTTTCAATATGAACCAAACAACATGGAAATTCCAACAGTGATCGTTTTGGACACCTCACATGACATGATCACCCAACCAATATCCTTCAGACGTTCCCCATAGCCATTAGAGAGCAGACTCAGTAAAAAAGCTTTGACCTGTCTGGACCGACGCCAGCTTTAGTGTCCATTTTGTTTCCTCATCCTGTTCTTTGTCTTTGTAATGTACTGGCCAACAGGAAGTCTCTGCACAGGTCATAATTGTCGCTTCACCGTGCAGGAAACATTTTCCGTTTCATTAGGTGATTTTTCATGGTCTGAAGTTCAGACCTTCTGTCTAACAGCCCTGTACTGATTAAGCCAGTCAGAAGTGTCCTTGTGCGTCATAACTCATTTTAAATACAACCATGGTTTTTCTTCTCTGGTCTTAATAGTCTGTCAGAAGACATTATTACAGTGTCTCAGTGGAGTTTTCCCATAATTTGGTTTTAGAAAGTTGAAGTCTCCACTATAATGTATGGTGTTGCTCAAGAGAAAAAAGTTAGTGTTTAATAATTACTTAGCACCACATGGCTTACCAGCGACACTCTTTTTCTTCATTAATGAAGAAAATCATCCACCAGACATCAAAAAGTTCAACCTTGCAATGCGACACAAACCAGGGAGATTCTTCTGACATTAGGAGGGAGTTGCAAAAAGTTCAACCTTGCAATGCGACACGAACCAGGGAGATTCTCCTGACATTAGGAGGAAGTTGTAACACTGCGTATTGTTTGACCACTCCTATGGATTGTCCAGGTATTAGAATAGATTTAGAATCATCCGACTGTTTAATGGTCATTGTATATAAGCTGACATTTAACCAATCACTGGAGAGCAATGAGCACCCATAGACTTGAGGGAAACAGTGCTTGCTCAACAGACCACAGGCCGGGCTGGATTTGAACTTGGAATCTTCCCCCTAACAAGCCCGATCCACATTAATATCACAGCCATGTGCCAAAAAAAAATCACGAGAAAACTGATTTCAATTGGTGCCGACATTTACAAACAAATGTGTGGGAAAAAAAACCTTTAAGTGACGTCTCAGACTGTCTTTGTTTTCTCAAGAGAACTCGAGCAATTCAGTAATAACCCAGTGTTTCTTCTACAATGTTTCCATTGTTGTTGAGAAACACATCCAAACTAGCATAGTGTTTGTGCAAGGATCTGATCCCATTCTTAACGGCCTTAAATCCTTAGATTTGGTAATTAAGAGTTGTGCAAAAAATAAAACACGACTGAGCACTGGAACATTGCATTCACAAACCTCATGATGAATACGACTGTTGAGTATGTCTTGAGGACAAGCTTATTAAGCCAGACTCCTTAGTAAACAGTTTCCAACTATTCCTCTTCAGTCTTAGTGGTGCTTTGCTCTCAAGCCATATCTCTGCTCTCACTTGAATAAAAAAGATAAAAAATTCAACCTTTGAAAATAAATGGTCATCTCTGGTTTGGTGAGACTCAACACGACCAACAAGCGAGGGCTGAAACATGCAGTTCTGGTTTGTAGTGGTTGTTTCTTTTTCTTGCAGATCAATGCACCAGACTGCATTTGATTGAGCTTCTAAGCTAGAGTGACCCTAGAGTATTCTTTTTTTTTTTTGCACAACATTTAAAATGCTGTGCCATAACAGCATTGCAGATCTTCAGGTGTTTTACACAGCGCTCTTTTAATTTTTCTCCTTTCCCACTTATCCTGTCTTCTGCAGCAATTCACTATCTGAAGCTGAGCAGGACCCACGTGGACTGGCACAGCGTGGATGAAGTCTACCTCTACAGTGATGCCACCACTTCAAAAATTGCACGCACGGTTACCCAGAAACTGGGTTTCTCCAAAGGTTTGTGGTCATAAAATAGTTTTTCTCTAAATGCCACCGCGACATCTCCACAGGAACTACGGACAGAACCAGGTCTTACTCTCAAGTAACAACAAATATTTAGGTTTTGGAGCAGGGGTCACCATCTACAGTTGTCAGAGGGCCAGAAATGTTGAATGAACAAATTAACACTGTGGACTGTAAAAAGAGTCATACATTGTAGGGATTACTGATAGTTATTTAAGTCTCAGTTTTCTTCAGTTGCTCCAATAGTGGGGACCACACGATATTTTCTCCAGTCCATTCATGGGCTGGATTAGACTGTGTAGAGGGCCGCGTTTGGTCTGTGGGCCGCAGGTTAATGATCGCTGTTTTATAGAATGGACTCTGGTCTTTGAAGGACTTTTGATTGAATTGTCAAAAACATCCTGATGAAGGAAATGCTTTAGGTTTTTCAAACAGCAACAAATATACAGCAAATAACATAAGGGTTTTGTCTTTCAAACAGCAACAAATATACAGCAAACAGCAAATAACATAAGGGTTTTGTAATCCTGTTACACAACATTCCCCAAATTTGGAAAAAAAAAAACTTTGCTGTCACATATTTTAGCTCTGCTTTCAACAGCCATCTATCTCTTACTGGTAACTTTTTCTTTTCTTTTTTTTTTTCTCATTTGACATTATTGTGTCTTGTTAATTCAGAGTTTCCCCACAGTTTTTTTCTGCAGTGCCCCATACTGTCCAACCCCCAAAAGTGTTTTTCAAAGTTCAGGTTCGAAAATTCCTAATGCAAGAATGCATGACACAAGTACTATTAATTATAATAGGTTTTTTTTAACGCTGCAGTCAAACAGCCAGTCAACAGTATTATCTGATCCTGTTGTTATGACGTTGTCTCCAGCCTCCAGCAGTGGTACACGGCTCCATCGGGGTTACGTTGAGGAGGCCTCGCCTGAGGACAGATCCCCTCAAACCACACACATCGTCTTCGTGGTGCATGGCATCGGGCAGAAGATGGACCAAGGAAGAATCATTAAAAACACTGCAATGTGAGTTGCATGATTTATTCATTCGGTTCAGACTTAAAAAAGCATAACCAATGAACAGCGCCAGAGAGACGTAGTACTTGTTTTCTATACTGGGTTTCTGTTTAATAGGCAAAACCGTTTTTTTTTTTTTGTTTTTTTTTTACTTCTGCTCCTGTAATTTTATGTCATATTGCTTCTCTTTTGTGGCATAAAGCAGACATGCATTGTTTTTAAGAAAACAGCATGTTTTGGTGTGATCATATGGGTGTTCCAGGTCATTTCACTCTCCTTTTTTCCCCCTTCAGAATCATTTGAAACCAGTTTACAGAGAGTAAATAGAGTAAAGAGTAGAGTAAATGTACATAGAGTAAATGTCATTGCGGAACAGTAACGCAATGGTAAATAAAGGCGTGGATCATGGTGTTGTACATACAGTCAACAGTCCTGCATACAGTAAATCCAAAATAACGACGTGACACAGGTTACAGTTATTTTTAACTGTTTCTCCCGATTCTCCTGCACCTGCAGCTTCTGTATTCTGTTCTACTTTCCGCTCCTTCGTCCTCCATATTTCTCACTCTCTGTTTTCCCCTGCTGTTGTGTTTTATTGTCGGTCTGTCTGAAGGTGTTCAGGGGATACGTGCTGAGCATTGAGAACACTTGAAAACAAAAAAAGACGCTGCAGCACAAGCAGATACAGAAACCTTTAAAACACAGCAAAATACTGTACAGTGTATGGTGAAACCCCAATGACTGAACTCTGGTATTGATGGATCGAGTTTTTATTGTCATTCAAGCGTTCAAAATTTTGTTGCATTTTTGTCCTGAGATTTCCAGATTTTTCGAAAGAAGCAAGCAAGGCATATAAAATATTAAAAATATCATGTGAGGATCTGTGATACTGCCTGGAGTCGCACCATCATGTGAGGATCTGTGATACTGCCTGTAGTCAGTCATTATTGAATTAATGTCATTATTGCACAGTATATATATATTTATATATATGTATATATTAAAGAAAAAGAAGATATATATGTGTATATATGTATATGTATATATATATGTATTTATGTATATATACGTATATGTATACTGTATATATGTATGTGTGTATATAAATAAAGAGAGACAGAGATAGATATATACTGTATATATTAGGGGCCCACTCGGGGGCGTGTCCATAACAAGAGGCGTTCATATACCATAAGAAATGTTAGGGCCATTCAGGTACCTTTGGAAATTTGAGAATCGTAAAAAGTACTCATGCGAAAACAAATGTATTGCATCTGAAACTTTTGTATGATATATTACCTTTACACCAGTGGTTCATTTGGTCTCAAAATAATGTTGACAATAATATCGTTCATTTGCAATAATTTGTGAGAGGATATATCATCCAGTAAAACATCATTAATGTCACAGGCCCATCCATAACCAACCTCACCCACTCCCTCCTACATAGATAATGCTGCCATATATAGAAGGAGTAGCAGTGGAGCCGTAGCGTGTCTGCTGTTTACTGCTGCATCAGTGAGCTGTGAAGTGAAGAAATGAATGTCATCATTTCTATCTTGACAGTTCCTCTGCTGAGCAACAAAACAAACCATCATCATTGCTGAACACATCTGAGGAATGACGCTCCTCCATTCAGAGCCTTTACTAGAAACTACGTCACAAAGTTGGGGTTTCTTTTCTTTCTCTATATTTTGTCTTATTTTCTGTGTTTTCTTTTCTGTGTCTGTCCAGGCTGAGAGAGGGCGTCAGGAAAATGGAGGAGAAGCACTTTTCAAAAAACACTGAGCACGTGGAGTTCCTGCCTGTTGAGTGGCGCTCCAAACTCGCCCTGGACGGAGGTTAGTTTGAAATAACAAATAATCTGTGGAACTGAAGTTTTTTTTGTTCAAAATTTTATTTATGTGCTTTATGCAATTGAAAGTCCATTAAAAAAAATGTAAGACATATTTGCATCGCATATTTACTGACAAATTGTTCATGCTCGATTTTCACCGTAAGTCGGAACTTGCATACTGTTCAATCGTACCTATGTCTCTAACACAGAGGTAACATCATAATCTAGGACATAAAAACATCTGAAGAGTCAGACCTATTCTTCCTCATATAGCGTCAGGTGACAACATATTTGTCTGCTCTGCTCCCCAACTCCTTCCCTGGAAAATTTGTTTGAATGCCATATGTCAGAAAGATGGAACAATATTTTCCCAGTTTGACTGCTGATTGGCTGGTTTCTTTGTGAACATTCACATCTGTATTTTGACCTGTTGGCTGGTTTCTTTGTGAACATTCACACCCGTATTTTGACCTGCAGTGTTGGTTGTTTGTTTGTTTGTTTTTGTAGATACTGTGGAGTCAATCACACCTGATAAGGTGAGGGGACTGAGGGATCTGCTGAACAGCAGTGCGATGGACATCATGTACTACAACAGCCCACTTTACAGAGATGAAGTAAGAGACAGAAACTTTAAAAAAAAAAAGAAATCTCTCTGATCACATCGACTGTCACTTCTACTGAACCTGATCGTTTGTTTTCTCTTCAGATCACCAAGACCCTCACGCAGGAGCTAAACAGACTCTACACACTCTTCTGTTCTCGGAATCCTGAGTTTGAGAAGCAGGGAGGTAAGGTGTCCATAGTGTCCCACTCCCTCGGCTGCGTCATCACCTACGACATCATGACGGGCTGGGACCCCGTGCGCTTCTGCCTGCAAGAACATCACCCTTCTGAGGAGGAGCCGGACCTGCGGTGGATGTCATACGATGAGAGACATCTTCTGGAGCAGCTCCGACTCACAAGGAATAGGTGGGCATCACATTTGACAAGGAAAAAGAGCAGAGTTTTGTTTCTTTTAAAATAATATTTTTGGAATTTATGATCACCTCTTTGCTTTATCAGACTGCGACTTTTGGAAACCCAGCTTCTCACTTTAAAAGCGTCCAAACCATCAGCTCCTCCAGCTCTTAAATTTATGGTAAGAACCTTGTATTTCATGTGTGTCTCCTTTAACCATAAAAAGGAAAAATAACACGTAAACTGTTGGTTTTGTGCGTCCACACTGTAGTACAATGATGACGTGTGTCTCACATTTAGAATTTACAGTATTTTTTGCTCTGATTGTTTGACAGGTGGAGAACTTTTTCTGCATGGGTTCTCCTCTTGCTGTGTTCCTGGCCCTCAGGGGGATCCGCCCTGGCACCAACTGCCACCAGGACCACATCCTGCCCACCTCCATCTGCAGCAGGCTCTTCAACGTCTTCCACCCCACCGACCCTGTGGTCAGTCTCTGTCGTCTGTAGTTTTGTATGCATTATATATTTAATCAGATTGTAAGATCAACCGTTGCTTTACAACCTTCCACAGGCCTACAGACTGGAGCCCCTCGTCCTCAAACACTATAGCAATGTCGCCCCCGTTCAGATACACTGGTAAGACTTGAACACCTGCGTTCTAATGTCACATCCTGTCACTTACCAGCGCTCCAGATTGACGTGTATTGTCTCGATCAGGTGGAGTGCCATGAATCCCACTCCTTATGATGAGATCGGACCAACGTTCCTCAATCCAATCAAGGAGCCGACGTCTGACACCGAGAGCATCCCCAGCCCAAGCACCTCACCCGTTCTTCCCCGCAGGCACTACGGAGAATCCATCACCAACCTGGGCAAGGCCAGCATACTGGGTATGACATCATCAAAAATGTTTTTGTCTGTTCACAACTATAATTTATAAATGGTTTTCACCAAAGTTGTCCAAAGATTTATTAAGGCCAGATACCATTAAAAATGTAAAATAAATACCTGTAGTAATTGCTTCTACTGTGATATTTTAATGGTAGAAAATGCCAGGAAACATAGCTAATAATATAGTAATATGTTGAGCAAAAATAGTCAGAAAATTTGAAGACACTGTAGGCCACATTAAAACTATTTTATATTTATTAAGAAACATCTGCAATTGGATGAAAATTGCAAAAAGTAGTAATATTTCTTATTACTCTATTTCTAAAATTACTGTCAAAAGAAAAATACTAATTTTACACATACATACAAGTATTCTAAATTTTACTTTATAACAGTGAAAAAAATAATATGACAAATTTATGAGTAGGGTATTGTCTAGGAGGATTTTATGCCTAGTAATAGATTTTGCTATGATGAACACTGCCACCTTGTGGACACCTCGTTCCCAATGCCCCGAATGGAAGGATGGAGGACAGGTTGCAGTTTTATTGTTTTATTATTGTGTTTTATTGGGGCTATGGTTGGTGATAATTGCATTTTATTTCACTTGTGCAGTTTTGCAGCAGTTGATTTCTTTTTTTCTTTTTTTTTCTTTACACCATCTTCACGTAGGAGCGGCGAGCATCGGCAAAGGTATCAGTGGCATGCTCTTCTCACGCTTCTCACGCTCCAACAGCCAGCCTTCAGTGTCCCTAGGGCTGGACGGTGGAACAAACACTGAGGAAGAGGAGCAGAAACGGGCAGAGAGTCAGTCAGCCTACGGCCTTTCCACCATGACTCGACCCACTTCACCCACACCTGACACGTCACGTGAGTTTGCACACCTGTCCACAACACAGACACAGACGTTGGTTCAGAGCTGGCGTGTAATTTCACTGCGTCTGTGTTTGTTCTGCAGTGGAGCTGGAACGACGCATCGACTTTGAGCTCAGAGAAGGTCTGGTGGAGAGTCGTTACTGGTCAGCTGTTACCTCACACACAGGCTACTGGTGCTCACACGACATAGCACTCTTCCTGTTGACTTTCATATACAAGCAGACGTCACCTTCAGCTCAGAGTGAGGAAAAGACGAATGAAACGCAGACTGAATCAGCTCCTTAAGTTCACCACATACACTTGAATGGTTGAATGGTGTTTTTTTTCATTTTCTTGAACAAGACACCACAACAGACTTGATTCATTTATTTCTCATGCGCACAAATGGATTAAAAACAACCTTTCCTTTATGTCCCTGCTATCTAGATATTTTTTTATCCACTTGGAAACCATTACTTAAAAAAAATAATGTCATTCCAAGATTGTTTTGTTTCTAAACGATTGTTCACCCCAAGGGTGACAGTGTTGCACCAGGAACTCCTAAGGAGCTGAACACTTTTTCCAAAACATGTAGTGTATATAATCCTGAGATTAAAAAAAAAATCTAATGATACCTACAGGGGTTTTTTTCACAAAATTGAAAAAAAAAAAAAAAAAATCTGACTTTGTCCTTCACACTTCTTGAACCTCGAGCAACATCTGCAGCCTGATTCGAAAGGTTTCCCCTCAAACTACTGATAACTGCAGTTTCAACCTGATTGGTGACTGTGACTATTAAATACTTTTTAAATCAATGTTCATTTGCAAGATTGAGAAACATAATGCTTGTCTAATTCATTTCTGAATTAGACAAAAACACAGACACAGACCTCTGTAAATGCTAAGGGCATTATCCCTTTAATGTTGTGGGAATGTGAAGCACTAACATGTACACAGTTCTGGAGTTTGTTTCCTTACGCACTATAATAAACATGCACATGTCACCATTTTCACATACCACAGGGCAAATGCAGAATCCTATTGTTTGGATGGTCTTTAACAATTCGTAGTATTAGAAATACAGCTACAGCTGAACACTCACAGGACTTCATCATTTTCCATCAGACAGTACACACCCTCTTTATAGACCAGGACTTTATAGACCAATACATACATAAAACAATTTCTAGAAAGGTTGGTACACTTTTACCCGTATTTAATTAGCCTACCAATATTTTACATTTGGGCATGATCATTATAATTTCTAGAAAGGTTGGTACACTTTTATCTGTATTTAATTAGCATACCATTATTTTACATTTATGCTCATTAATTTTGTTTTCAGACCAAAGCCTAAAGAAAAGGATGTGGATAGTTTACACCAATGATCAACTAGTGGCCCACGGGCCAAATTTGGCCTGCCAAACAGTCCAATCCGGCCCAAAACTGAATTCCTAAATTGTAAGGATCAAAGAGAAAATATCTTGAGGTGCCCACTATTAAAGCAACTGGAAAAAACGATAACTGAAACTTAGATAACAATCAGTAATCCTCACCATTTATAACTCTAAACATTTTATTAAAGTGTCCTTCCAGAAACATACTGCCCCTCTGACAAATATAGTTGGTGACCTCTGGTGTACATTTTGACTAATTTCACCCATACAACATAAGCTGCAGTACACTTCACTGAAAGCTGGTACTGAGAGTACTACTTGTAGTTTTTCCCATATCCCATACATGATAAATGATTTCCTCTGCTCATCACTTTATGTTCTCCTGCTCTCACATCTGGTTTGCAGACAGGCCAGTGAAACACTTGACCTGCTCATAAACCCGGTCACTGAAAACGGAATGTCTTTTTCTCTCTTTGTTCCAGTGAAATACCAATAGAGTAAAGTACCAAGTAGCTATCTGACTTTTACTGCATTACAAAGTGTACCAACTTTTAGGAAAACACGTATTTTCCTAGTAATTTTTTTTTAATCCTCTGAAGATGAGACCCTGTTTGATAAAGCTCTTAATTCTCATTTTAGTAAAACGGGATTCAAACCTGGGGCCAAATATGGGACTCTTTGCTGTTCAGGTCGTGCTAAGGTTATTTTATTCCTATTCCTATTATTATCATGTGTGTTTCAGTAACTAAAACTGATATATCTGGATGATTTTGAAAAATGTTGGCTTCCTTATTCTTTCTGATGGCCAAACTGATCTGTTACACAGTAGATACATCTATAGTCTAATCAATAACTTATTTGCAGAATGTGCCAAGTTTTACTGAAATGACTGAGTTTTATTTTTTAGGAAATCACAAATGATTATTGAGAACAGCAATGCATGAAGAATCTAGGTAAATAAAGACAATTTATTTCATGGAAACAAAGCCGCACTGTGTATAGGCTGCACCCAACACCTAAGTTCAATGAATGTGTAAATAGGCATTTTACAATGTGTCAAATGCCTATTTGTGTCTGTTGTATATATATTTGTATATATTATATAAATGTGTTTGTGTGTGTGTGTGTGTGTGTGTATGATGTATATATGTGTGTTCATGCAAATGAGAAATTATGCAAAAATATATAGTAATTATAGTATAATAGTATATCATAAAGTTGGTGGACAATCTGTGCATATATATATTTATGTATATATGTATGTATGTGTATATATGTATATGTGTGTGTGTGTGTATATATGTATATATGTACTAATTTATCTGCTGCCTGCTTAAAAAACACCTGATCTCTGTAACACTGACAGAGTACACGCCCCTCATTTTGGTATTTTCGCACTCATGGTTGATAAAACAGAATATAACCTGCGGCTTTATTTCCATGAAATACATTGGTTCTCAGAGAGTTGTTCATTTACATGTGGCAGATTTTGATTCCTCACCAGTGTCAAAATTGCTTTATATGCAACTAACTAATACATCGGTTAAAAAGTAATTGTTTTTATTTACTTTAGCTAATGTAGACTAATGTAACTGTTACCCCAGCACAATCAAGGGCTTTTTGGAATTGTTATCCGAATAGGATAAAAGGAAGGTCAAATGAGGTAAAAATGTTTGTAGTTTATACCAACTGGACCAGGTGGATGTTGAGCTGCACAGAAAATGTATGGGAAGAAATGTTTGTTTTTGTTGATCTGATGTTGATGTGAAATGCATGCTACAGTTATGTGGGATTAGATGCAGCAAATGCATCGGGGAGTGTGTAATGACAGTTATGGTGAAGATTTGAATGTGAGTTCCCAAAGTATGTTTAGATTTTTTTTTCACAAGAGCAATTATTAAAACAGCTTCATTTCACTGTGTTCATTCTGCATGCAAAAACAAATCACTATCAAAACAAAACTGGAGTTATGAAAATAAATACCACATCAAAGGTAAGAGTTTATTTTTGACTTCATGGGCATTTTAGTGCATTCTGATCATATATTATTTATTTTTGTTAATGCCTAATACAAGCATCAGGGAAAATGTCCACTGTACTTTTGTAGACAAGTTTGAAGCAGTTATGAGGCCAGGTGATGGCGCTGTGATGTCACAGTTGTGTCCTCCGTCTTACACAGAAATGTTAATAAAAAAGGGCCTGCAGCCATATTGAACGCCACACTGGGAGAGAAAGAAGAAATGCTCATTTTTGTTGTTTTTAATTGTGAACCCATGTCACATTGTAAACTTAAATTGTCTGTGTTTAGTTTTGTGTTTGTTTTTTTGGCTGAACAGTGACCCATGTCTGTAACTACCATCTGGAGCATGGTATTTATTTTCTTTTATTAAAGTTATTTCCTCATGTTGTGTGAATGTACTGACCACATCTCCGTCCTCGTCCCTAACCTGCACTCTGACACTTACACAGACCCTAACCCTCATTTTGAATTTGATCAGCAAAATAAAAGTACTGTTGAAGTGAGTCTTCCTGGGTTGACGAGGGTTGTGACTTATTCAGAACTCTCACCCCTAATCCTAACTCCTAAACTAAGGAAGGAAAGAAACAAGAAGGAACCTTAACCTTCAACCAAATTAATGCTGAAAGAAGGGTGAAAGGAAGGAAAGAATTCAAGTCCTAACCCTTACCCATAAAAACAAAGAAGGATTGAAGAGGAAAGAATTCAAGTCCTAACCCTTACCATTAAACCAAAAAAGGATCGAAGGTAGGAAGAAAGTCAGTCTAACCCTACTCACCACCCCACACCCCGCCCCTTCATCTCTAAAACTAAGGAAGAACAGAAAGTAGACAAACAAGGAAAGGAACCCTAACCCCAAACTAGGAAGAAAGAAATCCTAACCCTTGTCCCCTATCTCCTTAAAGTTTATAAGGAAAGAAGGAAGAATGAAAAGAAGGAAACTTAACCACTAAATTTAAAAAAAGAAGAAATACGGAGGCCTGACTCCTAAACAAAGAAAGGAAACAGGCAGAAAGAAACCTTAACCCCAACCCTCAACCAACTGACTGCTGGACTAAGGAAAGAAAAAAAAGGAACTTTAATCCTAACCTTTATCCCCTAACTAAGGAGAGAAAGAAGGTAGGGAAAAATGAAAGAACCCTAACCTAAGGAAGAAGGCCTAACCCTAAACCTCACTCCCTACCCTGTACAAAAGCATGTAAGAAAAAAAAAGGATGGAAGGAAGCCTAACTCTGCCCCTTTAAACCTAACCATTAATCTTAGAAAGGAAAGGAAGCTAGGAAGCCTAACTGCAGCCCTAAGCCTAGGAAAGGATCGAGAATAAGAGTTGGATACAGTTTTCCATCAGTGTTTTAGTGGAACAGTAGAATGGTCAGGGGAAGATGATCCTTGTTGCATATTTTCAGACTTGTTCTGCAGGACAATAGGTCTGTTTGTTCATCTGAAGCTCAGGTCAGATTCTTTCCACGGCGCCCCCTTCTGTGAGCAACAAAGCTGACTTATAAATCGTAAATGGCCCTCATTGTTCCACACACTGACACGGCTTCCTCGAGAGTTACTGGGGCCTTTAATGCAGTTCAGTAACATCTGCACTGAATGGTTGACAGATGGTATCTGTTAGCACCACGGGCTAGTCTTACAAATAATGGACTCGGCCCTGTTCTACTGGATTTAGCCACAAGGCGTCAGCAGAGTGTTACTTAAAGTCTAACAAAGACCCCTATTGACTACCAGTTTTACTGAGGCTGTATTCAGTACTACTGTTGCTGTTTATTTAACATAATTAAGCTTATAAAAATGTTCAAGAATTGAATGTTTTTAAGTTTATAATCTATTTATAATTTATATACACACAATACTGAGCTTCAATCTGCCCCCAAACCTACAGTCCAAATGCTTTTTTCCACACTTTAAAGGCCTTCCCTCATCCCCCCCTGACCCCCAAACTCCCCTTGCACCTCCTCCCTCTTCATCCACATCAGCAGCCGAGCCAAGTCAAGTCAGTTGTGTGTCTGACTCCCTGGCTTCTCCTCTGACTGACTCAAATGTTTACCTTGCAATTAAAACACAGCCTATAAAAGGCAATGGGTTCAGCTGCCAGACATCAACGAAGGGGGTCGAGGCTGCACGGAACAAACGTGATAGATTGCTTTGATCCAGCTCTGAGGTCTGAAGGCCCAGATTCCTGAGCTGGACGAACCAGAGCCGAGCGAGTTCACCGGAGGAACCGAGCCAGGAACACTAGATGATTCACGTGTCTTCACTGCAGACCTCTTGGAGAGTTGAAGTGTGCTGCTGCTGCTGGAGAAAGATGGAAAATTGTTTTATTTTCTCCTTTATACACCTTTATTTTGTGATTTACAAATAATGTCTATTCACTTGGGTCACAAAAGTTTGTGACTTTTAAAATATGCCCAGAACTATTCACTTGGGTCACAAAAGTTTGTGGCTTTTAAAATATGTCCAGAATATGTCCCCAGAAAAAGAGTTTGGGAAACACTGATATACAGCATATACTATAATCTCTGTAACATTTTAGGACATCATTTCTGGCTTCTCTATTTAGAGGTAATTTTCTGGTAGAAACAGCGCTTGCAGAAGAGTTAAGACTTACAAAAAATGAAGAACGTGCAAAGAACAAACTTTTTTAATTCAGTAAATAAATGTTTTTTTCTAGAATTTGTCTGAAATCCTTTTGACCCATCCTCATATTTGTTATAATGATTTGCAGTTTTATCTGCAGCTGTATTCATTCAGACACAATTCTAATGTTATATTTTATATCTGATCAATTGATGAACAAAATGTCTTCCTTTGTAAATCAAAGTCAAGTCAGTCACAGTGTGAGTTGAGCTGATAGAAATACAGCCAACACCTGGGTCAGTCTGTGTATCTCTGTGTGAAGTGTCAAGAATAAATAATGTCAGTCTCCCTGGTCCTATAGTGGGGGATATTGAAGCATCGTAAATATTGTTGAAGTGATACTTCCAAAATTCCTTCATAGTTTGTTCTGTTACTCCCAAAACTTAAGACCCAATGGATGTCGCAAGCAGGGCTTCTGGTGCTGCTGCTGCTGCAACACACTGTGGTATTATTGCCATAAAAGGCAGCCTGACATTCAAACTCCATGTCCATTTTTGCTATCACAACATGCTGAGTTTCTGTTGAAGATTGGAGTTTGATAGGAGCTGTTAAAAAAGTGTGTTATTATAGCAACATCTAAAAGAGACATAGTCATTGGTTAGTTGTTGCACTTTTCAGGATGGTGTGTTTAGTGACATTGTTTTGTTGTCATTTGGATATTCCAAAGCTAACTTTAATCTACGAAATGGCTAATGTTTGGTCATATTTTTGTGGCTAATTTTAATCTCTCTCTCTCTGTCTCCACATATATAAATATATACACTTTTATATACTTTAATTAGTTTTGTTTCATTACACATTTACTGTATATTGTGTTTTTTGCTAAGCTAAGAAACTGTGATTGATGTTTTGTTTACATGGATGGTGTTAGGCTCCGTTTTTTTTTTTTTTTTTTCATTTAATTTTGGCTAAGTTGTTCACCTACGATTAAGTATTTTTGACTAACTCCTTGCTGTTTAGCTCACATTTAGCTTCCAAAAAAAAAAAAAAAGTCCTATTGGAGCAGTGACGTTATCCGCTGCTGGAAAGAGGGAGGGGGAACAGAGGGACGGCTGGACTCCATTAAACCGAAGCCCTGCAGGAAAACTGTTTGGGATACTTCACTTCTCCAGCGACTTGTGCTGCGATTTCTCCCAGTTTATTTCTCCCTAAAAGGCTTCATACATGATTTAAACAGGGGGAACTTCTGCTTTGCCGTGTAGTCGACTGTTTTAGTGTGTTTTACTTTCGTCTTTGTGAAGGTGAGTCCACACACACACTCTCACACACACGCTCTCTCTCTCTCCCTCTTAAATGTTCACCCTCAGAGCCTTCACTCCGCCGCCGCTATGAAATATGAAAACGCCTTTTTTCTCCACTTTGTGTCGCAGTTTTGCCGCTTTGTTTCAGTTCACGCCATTGTATAGTCGTAACCTTTACACATTATAGCAGCCCGTTTTCTTTTAAATGTACTTTTTCTTCTTCTTGAGTGAAGTAGTGACGGCCGCAGTGAGTACATGCTGCCGGGCCAGTTGTACTTCAGGCTGTTCTTACATAATGAAGCCTGGCTTCTTTTACCGTTATACTTTACCGTTATTTTTAACAGGTGAAGCCACACGTTAGTAGACAAAACCCAGCCTCAGGCGGTGCTGCTCAACCTGTAGCTGTGGGCCTGTTGCCTTTGTTTGGTCGATTCTATCGGTGAAAAGCAGATTTTGATTGTCAGACTTGACATTTACACCAGTTAGTGACAGCTAGGCTGCGATGCAACTAATGGCCAGAGGGTGGACTTAGCCTTATGGTATATCTCCTTAGGGCTACATCGAACATTCGATTAATCGATGACTAACCAAGACCCTAATTAATCAACATGCTTAGTCAACCAGTGGTTTTAAGTGACTTAGTCGCTAAAGGTCTTCATTTCAAGGAGAGTCTTCACTTCCATGACACTTAACTGAATAACTTCTTCCTAGCAAGGACTAAACGTCCACATTTTTAGCATTTGTAAGCAATTTCCTGCGTTCAATCGGCAAATTCAATGGTCAACAAATGAATAAACAATTACTTGATAAATTTGACGGTTTGGGTACTGCCAAAGTATCAATCCCAGCAGTTGGTTTGGTCATATTTAGATGTTCATGACTTACTTGGTGGAGTTAAAATAGACAGCATTTTGTTGAGTTTCACATCGGTCATTAGTAAAATTGGTTGTAATTATGTCATCTGTCAGTGATGGCTGTCCTCTGTAGCTCTGCCAGAGAAACTGCATTGCAGAGGAAAGAGAAACAATTTCATATGAAGTTCACTTTCATTTCTAACTTCTTTTTTTTTAAACACATTTTGTCCTTTTGATGTCAGTGATTTCTGTTTCAAGGATACATTTAAGACCAGAAAGGATATTCCTATTATGCAATGGTAAAAAACCCAAAAACATTTGAAAAACATAAATGAGATGCAACCGATATTCTACAAAGCTCTTACAGTAAGCTAGTAAACAACCTAGGTTTTACTACATGTTTAGACTTATTATTGATATTGATGTTTACTGTATATCCAGCCCTACTTGTAGGTAATGATAAACCTTGTCTGGAGTGGAAAATACCAAACTCAATCCTTATGGATCTAGATATAGTGGCCTATAATGTACGATGCAGTATATGAATGGGAAATCAATTCAAAATTGTTTATGGATACTCAAATCCATATTGTATTGACTAGTATTGACTTTCCATTATTGGTCTTAACTGACTTCCAATTTTGCCTCCAATTGGTTTCATAATGTCTGTTAAGATTTTTCAAGCAGTGTTGGCAGTTCACCACTCCGCCTCCTGGTTTTGTTTTGGAAATAGCATGACGTTGATGTTAGGCCATGGTCATTACATCAACATGACTTTGCATGAGTGTCTATAGTTCTTTAAACAATGTGATCCTGTCAAAGATTAATAATGTGTTTGCCTCACAACATGCAGTGAAGGGGAAACTGCTGGGTATCACCCACAGTGCCATTGCCAAAATCAGCAGACGTCAGCATACACCACAGTGGTGTCGCCAAGTGGGTTGAGATCCTTTAGGATACAGTAACGATAGTGGCTGGACTATTAAACCCTGGCTAAGATGCACATTCTCGCCTGCTGCTTTTGCACAGCAGTCATAAATCAATCAAATGTCCTAGACCTTCTGACTGGTGGTTGTAATGTGTACCATCCATGGTTTTGATTGTCGTTTTATTTGACACATGATCCTAGATGAAACATTTTATTTCTGGAGCTCATTGGTTCTTTGGCCACATGTCTCTCTTATAGGGCTAAAACCTTGCTTATAAAATGTCCTGCCAGTCCTTCCAGAGTAAGAAAAAATATTTTATGATTAATGGTTACAGTTTTCACACTTGTCATTCTATCTTAGTACCTCAGAGATTCCTTTCCTGAGGGTCCAAATCTTTTCTCTCACCTCACTGTGGTTGAAGTGTAGCTGAACATTTTCTCACCTGACTGTTGGCCTGTTTGACAGGATGGCGCTGGACGGAATCCGGATGCCCGATGGCTGTTACGCTGACGGGACGTGGGAACTAAAGATGAACGTTACTGACCTCAACAGGGACGTGTCGCTGAGGGTCACAGGGGAAATTCACATCGGTGGGGTCATGCTCAAACTGGTGGAGAAACTAGGTAAGCATGAATCTCACTATTACCCCGGCTGAATGCAGCAAAGCTTCATGTCTGAGGTTTAGTTAACGGAGCATAGATAACGATGAGTGTGCCCACCTTCTTTTTTGTTTTTCATTTGCATAACATGTAATGGTTAAGCTTCACCTCTCACCCTCAACAGGTCCTGCAACAGCAGGACTTGTATTTGTGTCAAGGACTGACCAGTCTTATCTGTTCATATTTCTCAGGCTAAAAATACCTCTCTTTTTTCATAACACTTAGCATCCGAGAAGTGAGATTACACAAACAAGAGGCACTCATTCTGAAAAAGTACAGCAGTTTCTGAAATCATGGCAAAACCAATGAAATATAGGTTGTCAACACCAAACTTAAAACTAAGTCAGTGTCTTTGACACTGGGCATTGTGTTTGTTTTTTTTGGTGTCGTTTAGATACTAATGGATATTGTTGTATTGCACAACTTCCTACAGAGTTAAACTTCGCCTTTGTTGCCTTGCAGTTAATTCGGGCCATTTACCCATGGTATAAAAGAAACCCTAGCAACTTCCCCATCCACTCTACCATGCACTGTTGTGTCACTGTGCCCATGCACTTGACAATTTTGGGTGCAAGAAAGCATAAGAGTCCTCTGTTCCAGTCACTTGAACACTGTTCAAGAACGCTGTTTCAGGCGGGCTAGAGAAAGGTCGAGCAAGTGTGGCGGCAGCAGGATTTGGGAATGACAGTGTGTTGTGTGTCGATGGTCCCTGCATGCTCGGCATACCTACAGCGCTCCAAGGTTTTATTCCCTGCCCTTGCTCCTGTTTTAGCTCTCCTGTTAGAGCACCACATAATTGAGGTCTTTGTTCTCTGTGGTTGTCTGTGCCGTTCAGAATCTATGCACGGAGAGGGAGGACTGTTTCTGCCGTTAGTGGGACGTCATGAATTCATTGGGTCTCCCGCCCTAACTCCACATAAGGCCTGTCCTTATTCATTGTTTGAGTTGTGTTCAGGCTTTCTGTTTAGGTCTGTTTGAAGGGTATGGCCTGGGTATGGTTAATGAATTTGTTTTCAAGGTACAAAACAAATAATCCAGCTTGGCTACGCAACTTTAATTGACGTGTGATAGATGTTGACTGTTTTTCCCACTGTGGTTAAAGTCACAGTTTTTCTGCAGAATGCAGATGTTTTTGCCCTGACCCTCTTTAACCTCTTGGGATTCCAGTGTCTTGATTTCCTCACACTTGGAGACTGAAAATCATTTTTATTTGTTGACCATAGATTGTTGTTGGCCCGTGTGAAATAACAGGACGCGGGTGTGTATGGTTGTGTATAGTTCTTGTATCAAAACAAAATTTGTATTGTCTTACCAAAACCACAGTTACTGCAATAAAATATGTTAGAGATTTACCAAGAAACCCTGCAGTGATTAGATAGCTCTATCTTTCTATCTACAGTATAGCTTGCTATAGCTATGAATTTAACAAGTTTCCCAGTCATTGCTTTATTTTCAAAATATCATCTATGTTGCTCTACACTCACAAACAAAGGGAGTACATTTTTAAAGCAACAACCCCAATGTTTATTGTCAATACATCTGAGGGAAGCACTTCTTCTTCTTCTTCTTTTTCTTTCGGCTTTGTCCCTTTTTCAGGGGTTGCCACAGCAAATCATTGATTAGGAACAGCAGAAGTGAGGGAGCAAAGAAATCCTACCACCAGGATGTGTTGTGCTGCATAAATCACAAACAACTGATGCTGTTAAACGGGCCGTATAAGGATAAAAAAAAAATTCAGACTGCCTCACATTCTTAATAAACCGGATGTCCTTGTGCAAGGACAATTCTTGCTCTTCCTCCCTATCCGTTTTTGTCTCTTTGTTTTTAAGCTTCCAGAAATATGTTGACGTCAGCTGTTATCTAATCTACATGGTTACGTCTTTTCTCATTAGTCATATTTACGCATGGGTTTCCTTCTGCTTGTGCTATAGAGTCGGTGGGCGTGTTTTAAACACTAGTATCCTGTCTCCATCATTCACCTCCTTCTGTTCTGCTGTCCACATATCAGGCTAGCATTGCCTTCGATAATGGATTAAATAGACAAATGCCAGGAAGGCACTTAGCTATTGATCACAGCGGTGAATGGTGCCTCCATTTCCCCCTGTAAAAGAGGAGTATTTAAGGCGAGCTGATTGACCACCCACTGGTCCCCAGCTCCTCTCCTTCTTTTCTTTGTGCTTTTTCTTTCACTTTGTTGATGCTTTCCAAAAGTGCTGCTCGCCGTGTTCAACATAAACAGTGTCCATTACAGAGGGAAAACAAAATATTTTTCAAGCACTGCTAGCTGTTGGAGTTTTATTGGATTTAAACGGATTATTCCGCTGAACCACAGCTTTTCGGCTCATGGTTTCCTCGTAGTATTATTTTCACACAAACACATGTCTACTTTTCATGTTACGCCTTGGACAAGGTTTACTCTTTCCAGTGTTGCCTGGGCCGTATTTCAAGGCCCCACAATGTCAAGCCTATAGATTTAAATAATGAGTTTTAGCCCACTGTGAAAAAGCAGAGCAGTCTTGGAATGACTAGTATGTAAACTATAGGTGAGAATGATATCTCACTTACACTTCTGGAACACTATGGACATATCGTTTCTGCTTAGCCTCAGAATGACAGCTGAGGGGAAAAGGGACCGTATGGAGAAGAAAATGAAGGAGGAGGGAGGCATGTGAAATGTTGGAAGTCCCATACTCACTCTCTCTCTCTCTCCCTCTCTCTCTTTCATCTGACTTTCATTGTAATGTCCAGAACGCTGCTAGAATTCCATAAAAGTCTTCGATGAAGCAGGAAATGACTTCTAGGGATTGGCATGCTCTTCTCTGGTCACTGTCGTCATTGCTGGCTTTCCCCTCCGGTTTGCCCCCAACCCTCTCTCTTGTCTCCCCTTTGCTTTTTCTTCTTCTTTTTTATACTACTGCTTAATCATCTAAATTTATAGTTTAAAAACATGTTTTTTATTTTCATTTTTGCTTCCTTTTTTGTAAAATTGGCAGCCATGTTTGAGTATTTGACAGCATCCTCTCCTGCAGCCACGTACCAATGCCTTACAGTCATCAGAAAGAATTTGACTATGAGGCGACTGTTTATTGTTCCATAAATAGAATGTGAGCTGGGTAATTAGTCGGGTGCAACTCTGATAGCTCACATGGGTTGTTTTCACTGACGGGCAGCAGTTTTTGGCAGCAGCAGCAATACAACCAACCATGAAAATGTGAGGTTTTCTTTTCAGACCCATGTAGATTTTTTTTGTGCTTTTCTCACTAATTTATTTTTCATTATTTGAAACCAACTATTGTTTGAACTTTGAACTCTTTTCTAAGAAGCCATACTGGTGTCTGCTGAGGTTGTGGTGACCGCAGTGACATGCCTTCATTTTTGACAATGGTGTGCAGATTTCATTAGGAAACAGACACCATTTAACACAGGAAGTTGAATTTCCTCTGTGTGGGTTTTTTTATATGCCTCCTATCTCCTTCCTTTCATTCCCACTATCCTGCCCACTCCGGGTGTGCAGGGCCTGATGCCTCTTCAGAGCCTGCTGAGATTAAGATGAAAGAATAAGATGATGAGCTTCCGTATTTTTCTTGATAATCAAAACAAGGGATCATGCAGAATAGAAAGACATTTAAGTCGTGCGTCTTATCACTCTCCCTGTCCTGATATACCTGACTCGTATAAAGATTTTTTTTTTATCACTGATCATCTATAATATATCATGAGTTTTCCTAATGCCCTGGGATATAGAAGTGTCAAATAGCTTGTAAGCTTGTGTGATCATCCTCCTCTCTAATCTCTCTGACAGGAAGTAGTTACTCTAAGTGGCGGTCCTGCCCAAGCAAGAGCTTTCCTGTTGCACTTCCAAGATGCTGAAATGATAGTCCTAGTTTTTACTCAGACCACCACCCTTTATATATTGCTCTTGTTGCTTCCCCGTGAAAAGAAAAAAATAACTAGAAATACTGTTTGAATTGTACAACTGCATTAAATAATTGTTTCTACAATTTAAGTCGTCATAAAATATTGTGCATATGATGCATTGGAGCTTAATATTAGGGATGCATCAAATAGAACCTTTAAGATGTTTGATGAATCTCCCAGTATGCATTGCAACATGTTCTCCTCGTGATTGTTTCTACTCTCAGGATTGCGGACTAGGAATGTAGCCAAGTTCTTATATTTGTACTATTAAACTATGGTACATTTAGAGTACCTAAACCTTATTTTGGACTGTTGGCGAAAAATGGGAAAATATCAGAGAAAACCACTTGCACATGAGGGGAAACTTGCAAACGCTACTGCCGGGCATCAAACCAACAATCTTCATGCTGTAAGGCCAAATCAACACAACAAAAAGTTTATCAAAACAAGTTTCTGTTCTGTGATGCTCTTTAGTTCTTTTCCAAATGGGAACAAAATGATGATTCCTTCAGACTGCAATGTGGAGAATACCATCAACACTCAAATTATTTCATTGCCTTGTTAAAAGTTGGGTGTTGTTTGGTGTCTGTTCTGCCTCATAGGTGACAAATGCTTTGTATTTTGTCCAATCATTGCTTTTGTTGAACTAGTACAGTCAAATGCTTTGTATTTTGTCCAATCATTTTGTTGAACTAGTACAGCGAACACCCCAGACTTTTAAAGTGCTCCATCTACACACTGCTGCTTATGTATTAGTCATGCACATTAAGTACTAACTCCTACCTAAGCACAGGCGCCAAACACAGTGATGTTTTAGCAACATGAGGTAATGATTCAGTCCTAGCAAGTATGGAAATATGAAGGAAAGAAACAAGGCACACATTAATGTATCATTATCTTTTAGGCGCCTGGAATTGAATTCTTGTCTTAATTCCTGATTGTACTGTTATTCACCCCCTCCTTTAATAGGAAACAAGATGATCCTTGAGCTAACAACCGATGATTGTATGCAAATTATATGCAGTCATTTCGCAGTGCAGTTGTGG